AGCCTATGACAAACAAAGAGACCCATTATTAATTATGCATATTTGACACTAGTAACAAACTAAAAAGATGTTGAACATTCCACCATTTTTTATATTAAACTATGTTATTCCCTTAACTAAGATGAGTTGATGGATACCTCTCTCATCTCAGTGCTCAGTGCTCCTTAATAAGGCTGCCAGGCTTTTCATTTCAGTCCGTCGTACTTCAACACTGGGATTCTGTGGGAAACCAGCAACTGATTTTTGAACATTTTATTTGAGGAAACTGCCATTATCACATTGACAAATCTATTATGACCTTATTCTACCAAGTTTTTAATTAATTGATTTATGCAATTTTAATTAAATATCAATTGTAAATCTGTAGTTTATTTGTCATTAATTTGTCAACTGCGTGATATACACACTCATTCCATTTAAGGATAATATTTTGAGAAATAATTTCACTATTTAGCAAGCCCTAATTTACACAGATACCTCAAGTGTTTCTCAAGCTTATACCATTGACACATTGAAGGAGGCAGTATTGTTCAGTTTGAACTAAAAATATACGTAATTGAATGGACAAATGAAACAATTGCATCAGGCAATTCAGAAAAGCAGATTCAACATTTCACAAGCAGAATTACAGATGTACAACTGACATTTCATGATAAATCTGCACAGAATATAAAGCATCCTTTTCGTAAATTAAAAACATTTACAGAAATACCTCTATTTGTACAAATCATAGAATTTTGTATTTGTGATAGCAAGTCATATTTAGAGTAATTAGTTTTAATGTAGTAATTATGTTTAGAGTAAATGTTAAACCCCCAGGGTCAGAGCCCAAAATACACCCAAAACACATACCTTGTCCATTTCCGCAATGATTACGTCGATATCGCGTCTTGCTGTTCCCCCCTTCTTTTTGAATACCCTCAATGGCTGGTTGGAGTAATGATCCAGTCGGGACATAAAGGTTGAGAACAGGGGGCTGTGGTGATGAGGGTGAATTCTGCATTTACCTGAAACGTATTAAAACACAAATTCAAGTTAAAACAAAATATGTCAAACTCTGTGGGCTACATCTGGCCGTGGTACAATTATATCCAGTTTGCCTCGATAGTGGAGCTGGCGTGGCCATAATAATAATATTAAGACAGCACTACAGTACCAGTTCTTAATTTTGGCCCTCTCTGTAACTTTGAGTTTGACACCCCTGGAAGGGAACATGAGGTTCAATGTGGGCTATCTGTAACCATTTTATATGGATGTTTGTGTAATGTGCATTGTAGGCCTAATATAGAGCAGAACAACCATATGCATGGATTCTTACGACATTGCCTCCAAACCTTTGTCAATTAAATATTACTCATTTGTTTAAAATTAATACCCTAATACAGTATTTAGACATTAATTACACATATTTAAATTAAATACAGATGATGAATAATACTTTACCTGGCTCTCAGAAAACAGGGCTGGCCATCTGTTTTTGAACTCTGCTATGAAGGGCATATCTTTAACAACTTCCTGTCTTCTATAGGCAAAGGTTCTTTCCATTTTACTTTTGATTAGCTGTTGGTTGTTCTTCTTTTTCACCTCCAATATCAGTGCTTTCCTTTCTTCCTCAGGCATAACAGACAGACAGCAGCACTTATTTAATAAAGAGCTTAAAAAACAACAAAAACAATATTAGTTTAATACTATAGCCTACTGGAGCTAAAAAAAAACATTAAAAAAGAATATATCTAGGCCATGTGTTATGTTAAGCTAAAGTTAAATGTCAATAAAAAAGTTTAAAGCTAAATTACAACTAAACTAAAAAAAAAAAACACCAAATTCTCACTATTTCCACTTCTAACACACTTACTATGACAAGGATACATGCTAATGCTGTGTAAATTAAGCTAGCAAGAGATCGTTTTAAAAGGTGTGCATGCTCCTGCCGATCGACTGTCCTGCACAGTTTAAAACCTAATCAAACACACCTGAAGCAACCAATTAAGGTCTTCAGATCACTTGAATTCACAAATTCAAGGCAGGTGTGTTTGATTAGAATTGGAGATGAACTGTGCAGGACAGTCGATCGGCAGGAGCAGGGTTGGGCACAAGTTTACAGCTAAGCGCAAAAAACATCATCTGTTGTCACAAATGTAAAATTGTAAAATATATTACAAAAAAAAAACATTCTACTTACCAAAATAGTTATGGATGATAATGGATTCAAAAGTTGCCCAAGGACAGGTGGAAAATGCTATTATCTTCTCGTGCATCATGTGCGAGATTGAATGTACGGAAAGCGCTTTGGGACAATCTTCAACCGCTAGTTGGTTTAAAATGATCTGGTTACGTTGGTTTAAATCTGTGACATTTTGTTGACTTGAAATATTATACTATTAATTTAATGCTATGAAACTCGCTTATTTTTACTGCATAAACATAATACTTTTAGTAATTTTACCATAAAACTAGTATTTAAATTAAACTACACCCATGCTTCATTTCTTTTACTCTC